CGAATCATGGGAGAAGGCGGGGCGGGTGTGGTTCGCGGCGAATCCTGAGCAGGAGGCGGGCCTATTCGCAGCCAATCCCTAGCAAGGTCTCCTGGGCCAAAGGATAGGAAAACAAGAATGGAGGACGTTGGAGGCGAGTCCCTCGCGAGGGAGGGTCAGAAGACATTAGATTGAAGCGAGGCGTCCACTCCCCACCCCACGATTCCAATCCCAAATTTATTATTGTTAAACACCCAAAGGAAACCTTTCCTTTCCTGGACCGCTAGGGTCAATCAGATACTAGACGAGCCTTGGCCGGTGGTTCAGTGGTTAGAGCGTAGGGCCCATGTACTCAAGGGTCACGTGTTCGATCCCCCGTCAAGGGAACAGGTACCTGGTTGCCTTTGGGATGTTTCTCTCTCTCTCTCCCCCTCCCTCCCTCCCTTCTACTCTCACTCAAATCAATGGAAAAAATATCTGCTGGTGAGATTAACAACAATAGCAAAAATGCTATAAGAATAGTTAGATAAAAAAAAGATTGGTAAGATGTTATAGGGATTGGAATGGGGATATCTATGTCCAAGATAGCTGGACTTAGTTGGGTTTTGGGTAAAAATGTTGTATATATACATGTATATGGTCTCTTTTTTAAAAAATACATTTTATTGATTTTTTTTCTTACAGAGAGGAAGGGAGAGGGATAGAGAGTTAGAAACATCGATGAGAGAGAAACATCGATCAGCTGCCTCCTGCACACCCCCTACTGGGGATGTGCCCGCAACCAAGGTACATGCCCTTGACCGGAATGGAACCTGGGACCCTTGAGTCCACAGGCCAACACTCTATCCACTGAGACAAACCAGTTAGGGCCATGTATATGGTCTCTTAAGAGGTATCAATGTTGTTTTGTTGCATTGACATTTCACTTTAAAGTCTCAGCTTAAATGTCACCTCAAAGAAATCATCCCTGATCTCCTTAGTCATTCTATCATAGCTCCCTGTTTTGTTCTTTCTCTCTCTTTGCACTTTTCACTTTCTGGAGTTATCAGAGTTGTGATCAAATAGACATTAAATTAATATTTGTAAAATGAGTTAATGTGCTATCAAATGGTGTGGTGCAACGAAGAGAAGAGTATAAGTAGGAGTCTAGGGAAGGCTTTGCCTTGACATTCCTTCAGCCACGAACAAATATGAACAAGAAAATAGTAGTTTATAGTCTTTGCCTGCCTATGTCATATTTTCTCTCTGTTCTCAGTTTTTTTTTTTGTCCTGTGGATGAGAGAGTTAGGCCAGATTATCTATGTTACTCATGATTATAACACTTCTTTGTTTTCTATGAAATGGTAGAACTGTTTTTATTAATCATCTTAAAAACATTTTCTTTTACATTTTTTTATTGATTTCAGGGAGGAAGGGAGTGGGAGAGAGATGGAAACATCAATGATGAGAGAGAATCATTGACTGGCTGCCTCTTGCATGCCCCCTACTGGGGATCGAGCCCGAAACCCAGGCATGTGCCCTTGACCAGAATGAACCTAGGACCTTTCAGTCCACAGGCCAGTGCTCTAGCCACTGAGCTAAACCAGCCAGGGCTATTAATCATCTTTTGGTTGGAAAAATGCCAGTCCTGTATGACTTGGGAGAATGGATGTTGGGGCACATTTTCAAATGTTCATTTCAGAAATTTTGGAAAAAGACAAAAGCAGGGTAGAAATAATAATCATTTGTAATTTCTACCTGGTGATAATAATTTGGTGTGTTTCTAGATGATCTTTAAATACCATTTCACTTTCAGAAACTCTGTTTCTACTTCTCATATTGCTATTTCTTGACTATCTCCTAGGCTGGGCATCCAGTGGAGGGTCTTACAGAGTTTGTGTGAAAGATCCATCTAGGCCAGTGATGGTGAACCTTTTGAGCTCGGCGTGTCAGCATTTTGAAAAA